TTTCGCTACTCGATGACTATTACTAATAGTCCCCTAGTAGCGTAGCCAATCAAAATGCAGGATTTGCATTAGTCCACTAGTTGGGTGATACTAAAAGTGCTTAGTATATATATGAATTAATACATATCTGACAGCAATTTTTATGTATTCATATAACTGAGACAATCTTCAAGTATATTTTAAAAGTACATTTGTTGCCAATGACAATATACATTCTTATAAGACAGGATCTGCCTCAAAGATACATATTCAATTGAAAAGAATGAACTATATAAAAAAGGAAAATTTGCACTAGGATATAAGGGAGCAGTTATCTGGAACAGTCTACCCATGGAAATCAGAAACATGAATTTTTTCAATCAGTTTAAAAAACACTAAAATGATATGTTCAAGATCAACCTTACAATGGACAATAGAAATACTTAGTGAAAAAAGACTTAGAAGTGTAACAAGTCTCTGATCTGTGTGATAGAAATAATCCGCCTTCTGTATTTAATTACATATGATTTAGTGAAATAATATTGTGGGGCCGTCATCTTTTAAAAAAAGCTCAACTGAGCTTGCTGAATCTCCTGCCTTATCAACTATATTTGTCTGGTTGTAATGTAAATGATTGTTATGCATCAGATAGAGGGCGAATAAAGATTTGAGCATCAATTTCACTAATCCTAGACCAGTATCTGTGAAAAACTTGTATACACCATGAGTGTTAATTATCAGCACGTACACTATGACTCACAGTCTCAAGGGAAATAACTCACTGTTGCCATGGGGTCAGTAATTCAATATACCCAAACAGAAAATTAACAGCTGTGGTTATCATGATATTATGCTAATTAAGTCTGAGTTTTATGCTAATTTATGTGAAACTACAAAATAAGTGTTGTCTGAGTGGGCCATATTTATAAGCAAGGACTGCTTTAGCAGAGTGAACAATATTCGACCTTAGTTAATACTTCCTGTCATCAAACAGTGAAAATGGTTTTTTGTGATGCTTTTTCATAAACATGTCCCTTGTTTTCTGCCAGATCAGACTGTGCAAGTTGAAGATTACACTCCGCCTGTTCCAATTAATTAAAAAAAAAGCAGAAAAAAAAGAAGAAAATGGGTGAAAAGTGAAAACACATTGTTGTAGGCTTGATTTGTGACACTCTCTTGCATCCAGTCTTCCCGAGAGGAGTGCATTGTGGTCCCCTTCCCTGAACAGTGGCTAGTAACAGAGCCTTAAACATTGTTACTGTAACAGTTATGCTAAATTATTGTCGAGTATATGTGTGGAAGAAACAGCAAAACTAAAAAGTTCTGAAAACTCTTGTTCAAATTTTCAGGATTACTTGACAGATGGTCACAGGGTTCCTTCATTAGATTCCCAGAATGACTGCCAACTGGATGAAGCTATGGAGAGTGGCGGGACCACAACGATCAAATACCACAGGAAGGTCGACACCGGTGATTCAAAAGATGTGGTCATCGAGGTGAACTTAAGATGTTCTGTCATTTGTCTATAATTTACATATAGTGCTTCTAAAAATAGGTTGGTTAAAATGTGCAGTGACACACAGAGAGAGTGAGTACACAGAATGCTGCTGTTGGCAGGAGGAAGGGTGTTTGTGTTTTATTTCTGACATTTTGGCCTGAAAGTTAAGTTAAAGAATTACATGTTGGGAGAAACATTTTTTCTATGCAGTGCAGAGTGCAAAGAAAGTTCTGTGGATTGCCTTTTTTGAGAAAATCCATGAGAAGTCCTGTAAAAGAGAGATTATTTTATTTATAATTTATTAGACAATTTTTAAATTTTTATCTTCATTCAAGCTACTAGTATATTTAATTTTTTTTGAGGAGTGGGGTGAGCTTACCCAAAAATTGGTTCTCCCTGCATCCTGTGATGACAGTTTTGGCATATAACTTTTTGGCAGAGACAGTTATTGATGCACAGTATTCTCAGGATAGATTGATTTCATTGATTAAAAGATATATGAAAAAAGACACTAGAAACTGAACATAATACGATGCTTATATACTCTCCTCTCAGCTACAGTGAGCTTTGGAAATGTTTTAGCACCAATGCACTGGCTTGGTCTGAGCCCGGGGGGGGGGGGTGGGGGGGTACTTCTATGTACAAAGGATGGTGGAGCTTGTCATATCTTTTTAAGGGGTTGAAAAAGCAGTTTTGGTGCCTCTTAGGGTGCTCAGCCTCAAAATGTCCACAGTGGGAGCTTTTGCAGTACCTTTTAGGTACTCAGAGCAGAAAAAAACATTACAGTAGATATTTGACCATCAATTTTTGTGAGTGAAAGGTATTTGAAACAATAATTATCGTTACATCGCTATTGAAATTTCTGAGTATCAGAGTTGATGTGTTGTTTTAGAATTGGTACCACTCAGGAGAGAAAAAAATTTCAAGCCATGCCCACAAAGCAGGGTCTTGGTACCTCTTAGGATTTTTTTTTTTCCAAAATTTCTGACAAGCACCTCTTTTCTTGTTATATGGAATCCCCCCTGGGGAGTCCTGTTTTCCAGAGGAGCAATACTTGTTATGCATTACAAGACATAAAAACTTTATTTTATATACCTGAAAAAAAATTATGCTAACCACAGACTATACAGTATTTAAGATTAGCACAGCAGCTGTCTTGGAGAAGTAATTTTCATTTTCTTTTTCTTTGTTTTCAGAAAGGAGAAATCATTCTTGTGTGGGCATACAAAAACACTGATGACTCCCTGTCAAGGCACAATGAGAAGGGCTTTGCATCAGTGACCATGATAAGCGCCAGTGAGGCAGTCAAACTGAGAAGCTTTTACTGGAAACTTGGGGTGGCATCTCTGTCCATTGCTGTGGCTTTCTTGTTTAAGTAAATGTTACAAAGGGCACAGAACCTTTTTTTGTCATGTTCAGCTTTGCTATAAAAAAAGCTGATAAGTGAATTCTTGTTGTGTATGTGTTTTTTTGTATTATTTGTACTATAACCTTTGCAGCTAAAACTCGTCACAAGAATGACTTTTGACTGACTGGTCAATAAGGATTAAGTGAACGTAGTAAAGGGACCTTTTCATGCACTGTCCTACAGTGATAGCTAACAATGGACCTTTTTGACAATGTCACACAGTTAAAGATAGATTTAGCCATGCCTAAAAGCGTAGCTCCTGATTACAATAAGTTAACCTGGCTTGACCAATACCTAGGCAGTGGCCGCACTTAAGCAATGTTGACCATGAAAAAAGAGTTGTATGGTTTTTTATTTGTATGCATGCTTCTGTTCCTATAGTTATGGTGCTCCGCTTAGTGGTCCTTTGTGCTGCCGAAGCTTAGCTCTGAGCAACTGTCAAAACAAATCGTCAATGACGTGACATCGTCAAAAAGGAAAGGGATTACTCCAGCAAATCACTGCAGAAGTTTCACGTAAAACTATTCAACCATGCTTTCCTCAGATTCCCGCAAGGGATGTATAGCGAACTGAAAGAATTATTACCAGTATTCCATAATTTCTCACTTGAACAAACGGCCTTGGAGATTGAAAGTGTAACTTTAATTAAAAGAGCTCCCTAAAAGGGATATGATGTTGAGATTTGATTTTATAAAGTAATTAGTTAGGACAGTTCGGCTAAAAATCGCTTTTTTTTGGCTTTATTTGTTGAGTATACTTCTTTAGGAAAATGTTTTGTATTTACCACGTTTTAATAAAGCTTTTTATTGTGTTGCCCGTTCACTAAAGGCAGTTTCTTTCTTGAAGTAGAACACCGGGTCTCTCTCGGTTATGGAAGGTGAACCTGCTAAAAGCCAACGTATTAACAGCCATTTTCACGATTAACTAAAAATTCCATAAAAATGATAACAGGGCCGAATGGTAAGGAAATTTCTTGAGAGCTTTAGCGTATAATCTCTTTGATTCGTTGAAGATGTTCAGGGAAGCTTGTTTAACCAATAAGAACAAACTCCGTTTTGTTTTCTCCACCAATCATGTACGGTGCGTGGGCCCATCGTGGATCAACTTTTCGCGCCCTTTCTACGAGTGACTAGGCTGTACTCGGAGTTGACTCTCGGTCGATGGGAGCTGGCACCTAACTCGGGTGCAGAACCATTGTGTTAGCTTGCCTGCGGTGAGAAAAGGGCATGCGCCAACGTCTTACCATATTCATACCAAGTCGTACGTAATATGTCCACACTACGCTGGAGAAACTTGGAAATGTAGCTTTATTTCTACGGTTAGGCCTACCACCCACACTAACCGTCACCAAAACAGAGCTTTTCGTTTTAGTGTTGACGGACAACAGTTTTGAACACCGTGAGTTTTTTCCTCAAATACAGATCCAAAATGACCGATAAATTCTCCGGCGTAGTGTGGAAGGAAAACATTTGATGTATTTTCAGAGAGAAACCTCCATTTTCAAATTCCTCCGGCATAGTGTGGATGGTAAACAGTTGATGCGTTTTCAGAGATTTCACCTCCGTTTTCAAATTCCTCCAGCGTAGTGTGCACGGGGCCTCGGACAAAACTGGGTGAGCCAAAATACCCTATAGGGTAAAGCACTCCCGGCTCAAAGCCTCACATTCAACTCAAAATGCGTTCCAATTGCGTTCCAATTGCGTTCCAATTGCGTTCCAATTGTCATAATTTCGGCCGTGATGTAATCATGGTATTCCCCTCCCCGAGTTTTATCTGAAGAACCACTGGTCTCCGATCAAAGAAGAGGTCTTTTGCTCGGACTGGGTCAGATACCAATTTCAATTAAGGTTCCGTCCACACTACGCCGGAGGCCAGAATCAGTTTAAAACGAAGGTTTCACTCTGAAAACGCATCAAACGTTTATACTTTTTCGTCCAAACTACCCAGGAGGATTTTGAAAACGCAACAATAACCGGTCATTTTGAATTTGTGTTTGAGTAAAACTAGGGCAGGGGAATACCGTAATTATCGTGAAGTTATCGTTTACGAAAAGCTTCGTCTTCAAAATGTTTTCCGTCCAGAGTAAAACGCAAAGCCGGCGTTTTCAAATTCCTCCAGTTTGAAGAGCGTTTTCGAAAAGTTCCGTTTTCGTGAAGGATACCTGCGTATAACTTTGGGCCTATTACTTGTTGCTGTCTAGTATCTGGAGAATTTATGCGTGGTCCAGGCGATCCCAAGGGTGGAAGCTATAAGGTCTTTTTTTCTATTGTCATCGTAACTGATTGTGGAAATATGCTTAGATGAACGGTTTAGTCAGCAGAACACATTTTCGTTGTTCTCTTATGTATTAATTTGAGCCCAGAAAGGCCGTTTCCTTCTGAATAAACAAGCTAATTATTCGACTCAAACTAAAGAGAGCTAGTCAGTAGTCTACAGACCTAGTAACTCCCTCGTCAAGATCACTCAATCACTCACCATGAAATAACTGTGGTTCATTGTGACGGTTTTTTAAATCTGCTTCCTTTTTGACAAAGTTTTCTTGCCCCTGTAGGATGTTAATTCTTTTCGTTCGTTTAGCTCCCTCATCTATTGTCTTCATTTGCTTCACTGATGCAAAATCAACCAGTGACTCTGACGTCGATTCTTTTCGTTATAATTAAATGTTGAGTTTGCGCGCGCTTCGTTTTCTTCTTTGCCCGAAACTGAAATAAATGCTGAAAACGTGACAAATTGTCCAATTTCGGTCGCAGTTTCATTTGAACATTCATTTAGAATGCCTTTGGTCACAGTATACCGGTACACTGATTTTGTCCTCAATTGCATATGCTGAGTCTTCCTACAAGAAAAGCTTCAAAAAAATAAATGTATCACATTCTTACTTCTTCATCGCGCACTATTGAAAAATGTTTTCCCGTATTTTGCCGCCCACCAGGCACTTTCCTTTCCTATTTATTAACTGTGAAAATAACGCAAAATTCAACAGCCACAGTGAGCCACTTCAAAGTAAAATAAAACTTGAGGAATAAAGACATACTAACTATGATAAAGACCAGCGCCTACCTGTCTGATCATGACCTACACCCCTCCTTGAAGCATCATGGCCAAAGTTTGATAGTACGTGGACAAACAAACAATCATCCGCACACCTTCCGTTTCGTTAGTTTTCGCAGTCTCATGGTCACCGAAAGTGTTTTCTCCTGAAAAACTTTCACTACTTATAAACTCTTCGCTTGAAGTGTTTGTTAATTAAACACGAACGACAGGTTCATCTTTGCATTGCTTCAGTGCAGAAAGCGCTCAACACGAAATGCGAAAGATTTTCAATTGGTAAATTGCTATGAAAACTTCCTTTGTGGCGTCATTTTTTGACGTCACTCCAGCGCAGCGGCGTGGAACCTGAGCATGAGTACTAAAACGGATTTTGCAAGCGAAAACGTGAGGTTTAAAACATTTTTAAGGTCGTTGATCTTAAAATCCTATAAATTTGAAGACGTACCATACCACGCTCTAAAATATGTTCCATATTGGTTATCGTTTACTCTATGAATGATAACCGACAGAAATTAGGGAAACAGGCCCTAATTTGGCACCTCAACATGACTTAACAAATAATAATTTTTTACGCATTTCAACTCACTCAAGATGTTATTCTAAAAATAAAACGTGACCAGAATGAAAATATCAAAGAGTAATTTTTAATAGGCGAAGAACTGAATAAAACCAGTCACTTTGTAATTTCTTAGTCACGGCTAAATTTCCAAACAGTTTTTTCCTCTTGTTGGGCCTGATGACCGGCGAGCCAGTCCAAAAATTGTACTTTGTTCCATGAAACTGCCACTATTGGCTTGAAAAACGCTTTACACAACTGACAATACTACGAAATAAACTAGCAATATTTGCATTTTTCCTAGACGGTTTTTCTCTCGAAATTCAACAGGAAATTATTATTTGAATTACACACTTCAGGTTGAGCTATAAATAAGGGATTGGGACGAGACATCCGGGCGTCAATAAGAAGCCGACTTCTGACGAGACCCTGAGGAAAAGATCAGAAAAGACGGGCTATCGCAGTCTACATTCTTTCTCAGCTTTTAGTCTGAAAATTCAAATTGAAAACGGATTGGTATTGATTACCATAGCAATGAAACGGTGGCAATTGCTAGAGATGGCTAGTGGCAAGTGATGACCGAGTGGCGCATGGAGAATCGGAAGAAGTCTTTCAAGTTCACTGCAAGACATGGCGTCGAAGAAATCACGTGGCACTCTCCAAGGTTTGGACAAATTTTGGTTTAAGCTTATTAGCTTTGGCCTGTTTGCACTACCAGGAGGCACAAGGAATATATTAAGGTATTATGTTATTCTTGTTAATGTTTCTTCGCAGTGTTAATACATAGTTTAAATGAGTTTAAGCTAGTTGACGAAGTTCGCTTTGAACTTCGTCAACTTTGCCGCCGTTTACAAATTTTGGACAAATTTTAGTTAAGCTTATTTAGCTTTGGTCTGTTTGCTTTACTAGCAAGGCATGTATTAAGTTATCATGTTATTCTTATTATTGTTTTCTTCGTTGTGTTTATGCACAGCTTAAACGAGTTTAAGTTAGTTGACGAAGTTCGCTTTGAACTTTTCCGCCCTATACAACTTTAAAAGTGTTTCAAGGTGTTTTATTGGCTTTCTTTTCTCACAATGGAAGCTTTGTTGGTTTCGTTGGAAGCCTCAAAATTATACGATGAGCGGTTAAAAGGTTTTTACTTTAAATTTTGAACTGTTGTTAGGTTTTCGGTGACTTCGTGAGACCACACCATAAAAAATGCCGATCGCGTTCAATGGTATTTTCCTCAGATATGGTGGCGAGAAAAGGCGGGAATCATTTTTCATCGCTGGCCGCGCTTAAACTTTAGGTAATTTAATTTTAGCAGTTGTTTTTGAAATAACGACTTCAACTAAAGGAACAATTTGAGCGAGTTGGCAAAAATAATTGAAGGCATACGAGTCAAAAAAGAACGAACTACATTCAGAAAAACAAGAGAAAAATCACAGTCTTCTTCGCAGCTGGTCACGTCACGGCACAAGAGAAGAAACGTTGCGTGACCGACCCAAATGTGACGAGTATAATCGGGCCTGAAATATACAGTCAGCAATAGACCAATTTGGATATATTAAAATTCAACCTAACACAATAGACCTCAGCACGAGGCTCTGGGGAATAAACCCCACAAACTCTGTAGTTATTCCACGGAGCCTCGTACTGTATACTGAGGTCTGTTGCTTCAGGCTGAATTTTAATATATCGAAATTGGCCATTATGCTTTACAGCGGTGTTATACCTTGTCACTCAGGTTTAATTGCGAATTGCTAAGTCGATAACGCCTGGTTTTTTATTCTTTTAAGGCTTTGTCAACGAGCTGTACGATTTTTTTTTTTGTGATGAATGGATGATTAAAAAGATGAAAGGATGCTTTTTAATGTTTATTTTTCACTTTGTCAGCCTAGCGAGATGAACATTTTGACGGAAGTCTGGTAAGTGGAGACTTAAATCTTAAACGAATCTTTCCAAGGGAAAGGGAAAGACATTATCCATGATTATAGCTTATTTCGGGACCCTCGGGAATCTGCTAATGATTAATTTTGTATTTGGGGCCTGCGGTCCGTATTGCGTATTGGGTTGTGGCATTTATTCTACCGACATACCCCTCCCCCCTTGAGAAACATGGCCAATGATTTTCAAATAGATTCTCTAAAAGTTAACAAGCAACAAATCAAAACAATGGCTGATATAAAATTTTACGATTTTTTAGACAGAAATTTGGTAATAGTTTGTAGAAAACAAGCATTTCCTCCTCAATAGCTTGCGCGGAAATGAAAGCGTTTCAAGGGGCACATCCCCCGGAAACCAGGTATGCGGCGTAAGGCCTGAGGAAGAGAAAATGATCGCGGGCTCAAGGGGCCGCACCTCGATCGATTTTCATCTTGCTTGCTGGTGTGGTGCACTCGTACTTTGGCTGCGAAGGAATTTTGACTTTGTATCTGCTTTACATTCGGTAAGTAGTGTGCTCTCGAATATATTACAGAACTTTAAGTTACTTTGTATGTAATTTTACTTCGCTCGAAGCGAAGAACTGTTGGAGTGGGTTCGAAACCGGGCGTCCACGCGACTCTTGTTACGATTTCGTCATGTACATTTACAACCAGTCTCTTTCCAAGAGAACTTTTCTGCGTTTGGTAGTCGTTATTACACCTTTACACCCTTCAATCAGGTCCTATGAGGTTATTGTAAGTATAGTAGCTTTCCAGATTCTTTTTTTTATGGTTCTACGATGTTTTCTGCGCGTTAAAAGTCGAGAACTCGCTCGATATTTCCGCGTGGGCTTCGAAACCTTCGATGGCTCGGATTCTCCTTCTCTGTCCTTTCCTGTTCCACCCTAATACCTTTGCGTCATTTGGATGTTGTCGCTCGAAGGAATATTCCTAGTCTGCATGTAGTTAATTCAGTTCTTTTGCTGTCTTGGCTACAGTAAGCCGTGATTTCAGCTGTTTAATGGTTACTTGGTAGAATTTTCATTATGACTGAATACTTGATTTGGCTTTCTGTTGGCTTGCAACTGTGAATTGTGCCTTCTGAGCTGCAAGGTTCGGGGCTTTGTTTTCGATTCATTTCGTAGCGAAGTGGAACAGTTACAACAGTTTGATTCGATGCCAGAAAGAAAGCACTCTTGTATTTGTGTTAAAAACTCTGAGTTCTCAAACGGGCTATTTAGTGGAAAATTTCCGGCGAAGCGATTTTCGAAGAATCAGAAAACAGCCGGTATCGTTCGTTTGTTTTCATACCTGTGAGTATCTTGATCAATGTGTGTAGTTTTTTGCAGTAGTTAGCCGGTGTTTCTGCGCTGTATTTGATTATTGTGTAATTCTTGTCCAGTACAAAGACACAGAGGAAAGTTAAGCCCAAGTTAAGTTTTGCCACTCAAGGTTCATAGTTCTAATGTACTTTGCAATCGCTGTCTTGAGGACTGTTCTGGGCGCATATACGAACAATTGTGTTGTTTTACATGTGGTGATTATGGAAAACTGCAATTTCTTTAACAACTTCTTAAAGTCACTATTGTTTGTGAAGCAAATTTAGTTAGTTCTCGAAAATTTAAGGTTGCATTGCTTACAATTAATTACAACAGCACTAACTTACAGAAAATCACAGATACAAGGATTTCTGCAACCTTTCATTGTTTTAGACCTTGGCCAAATTTAGGAGAAAATGTTGCAGATAATAATCTGAACATCTCTTTCAACAAGAATCCCATTTGATCATCTGTAAGTGTTGACTGTGGCCTGTTTACTAGTACATTAGAAATGGTGATTTATAACAAAGAACAATGCTTTTAAATGAGATTATTAGTTGTTGGTATCCTGGCTTTACATGGAACCCTCTCAAGCTGTCAGGATTATAAGTGATCTCGTCACTGACAAGAGCTTAAAGTTGCCTTTGTATTTGCAAAATTTGTTTGCTGATTAGAAGTGTTGATTCATTAAGAGGAATTGGGATGCTGCAAGGAAAACAATCTAGGTTCCTTTCTGATATATTCGCACAAGTAAATTTGATTCACTTTGCAAGGCTGTTAATAAGGTAATGTCAAAGTGCCACTAATTAACCCCCATTAGTTTTTTGCGCATGTATAAATCTCCTTGTTTTCATGATCGCTGTAACGATTATTCGAATTCTGATTGATCGCGATGATGACTGTTCGGTTCGATTCACGATTCTTTGATTTCCATGTTTCGACTTTGGTTCGATTTTTTGCATACCTTTCCCAGAGCCTCATCAGTGAGTTATTATTTTGTGAAATCAGAATCCAGAACTCTTTAAAATGTGTGTTTTTGATTTACGAGTGAAGACGTTGGCAGTTTGTGCACCATTTTGTCTTGCACGGTAAAAATGTTTCCCTTCTACCACCCCTCAAGGCAGACCATGTGCAACATGCTCATTGTATCCTAAAATTGAGGGTTTAGGTTTGTATGTTGTTTACATTGTGTATCATGTTTTAAGAATTAAAAAACAGTAATATTTTGGATTATTGAAATCGTGAGGCAATAATTGAAGTTGAATCGAATCACAAGGGATATGAAACATTACACCCCTACAAGGAAGATGAGTTGAGGCTGTAGCAATGTAGCCAGCTTATGAGAGAGCATTCTTCCCCATTCAGTACCTCTATTCTAATAACGCTTGTCCAGAAGTGAGAAAAACTAATTAAAGAAGTGGACTGTTCTACACAAAGTCATGGATGGGCAAGTCTTTTTAACCCGTCCGTCCCACATGGATTTCCCTCCGAGGCAAAAGACCCCCCTCCCTCTTGATTTCCAAAAAAAGTATGAGCCTTAAATTTAATTTGTATTCAGTAGAATTCTATGCACAATTATGTCCAGAACATGGTCTTGTGTAATTTCTAAAGCTATAGCAAATATTAAAGGAGCAGGCTCACCAAGATTTAGTGCTACTTGAAAATCCAATGAAGGTGTTGGTATTAATTGGAAATCCACTAGAAGTTGCCTACCCTTGCTAAAATGTACCGTACTAGTCACAAAAGCTGTTTTCAATTGTTGTAGCTACAGACAAGTAGGAAAGAAGTGGTCTAAAACTTGAAAACATCGGGCCGACGTTTTCAAGTATGACAATGTTACTTGGAAGAAAATCACCAAAAATCATTGATCTCTAAGCGATTGAATTTATGCCTTTTTTGTCCTTTTAAGGTTATTTTGTTGATCAGTGAGTGCACCTTTATAATTTTAGCATAGTTTGCACAAAAACTTAGAAGACCTCTCGTGATGCTGCCCCTTTAAGGTTACAATTGTTCTGTAGAACTCAATAAAATGAGCTAAATAGGAAAACATTTTTGGACTCCTAGCTTATTAAAATCATGTGACTTGTTTCTTACACAGCGCAAAGTATGTCTCCGAATAATGATGAGACTTTTGGTAACTTGAATTATATATCTTACCTCCAAGTTCGGGTTGTAATAGGGCATGGGAAAAAATTGTGTGGAATTTTGGAGGCAAATTGTGCGGGAAAACACTTCAATTGACTGCGTGGAATTTTGCGGATTGTGCAATCTTTTGATGAACATTTCAAGTGTTCTTGCCAAGTGCTACAGTAAAGAAATTCTGCATTGACAAGAGTTTAGCCAAGTTTATTTCCCTCGTAGTTCAAATACACCTAGTAATCGCCAATTGTTTCAGCAAACTGTGTCTGACTGACTCTGTTAAACAAAATTCTGTTGCTTGACACAACTTAACTCGACGCCTATGAAACCAAAATAGAAAGTTGTATCTTCCATTATAAACCATTTCCTTTTTAAAAATAGTCCTACCTTTATTTGATAAAAATAGGTAGCTTGAATATTGGTTCATAACCTGCGTTAAAGTCCACATATTGTCCGAAGTTATCAGTGAAAAACACAACTTGAAACTTTATGCAAATTACGTGCAAATGTAATTTGATGCCCTCTTGTTAATATTTGCTGGAGCACTTCGATTGCAAAAAGTTTTGAAAGGTAAATAGCCTGAAAAGTTCGTAAGAATCTCTGCTAACAACAGGAAAGCTGTTTTAATGAAATATTTAAGCAAATTTTTAAGTATTGTGGCCTGCGGATGCAGATGTATTTCTGGCTGTTGCTTGTCTTATTTAGCGGGGTTTTGGAGAATTAAGGGTTATGTATTGCGAGCAAGAACGTGTAGCCATGGTTACCATTTGAAAAACGTTCTACTCTTGCGGATTTACATGACCGTACGTAGACCGTACAAGAGCCGTGAATTTTGAAACTCTTTCCCAAGTCCTCGGGACTATTTCTGTTAACATTTATGTTTGGCAGCACTGAGCCTGGGTACGACAATACAAATAGTGTCAGGCATTACACACTTGTAGCGAGCTTTCTTGATGTTCATCCTTTTGTCACATGTTTTCTGCGTGTTTACTGTGATTATGGAAGAACCTCATAGGCAACTTGGACTAAATCAGGAAAGAAAGATGTAACTGAAAGATTTTGACTCCTCTCAGATTCAGAGAGTGCTCAAATGTTACATGTCATGTATCTAAAAGTTTGAGATTACATTCCGTTGGAAATGATTCCCGAAGAAGGATTTTGTAGGTTCAACCTCCCCCTCCCCCTTCTTGCCTGGATTTCCATGGCCTTGGACCCCACCTCCCAAGAGAATTTTTAGAAACCCATCCATTGGGGGCATGTGGATTTTTTCTGGAATAACCCAATTCAGTAAAAATATGTAGCTTGAATATTGCATCATAAACTGTGTTCAGGTTCACAAATTCTCAGAAGTTGTCCACAAAGAAAAAAAAACAACAACTTGAAAGTACAGTTTGAAAGGTGGATAGCCTAAAAAGTTCACAAGAATCTCTGCAACGAGTAAGAAAGCTGTTTTATTTAAAGAAATATTGTGCCAGATGTAGCCGGTTTTGGAGAATTGTGCATAATTGTGTGGGTTTGAGATCAGAAAAATTCACTCATCGTGTCCTAAGTCATTTCTACATCACAGGTCACATGCATTTAATAAGCTATCACATTGAATAATGATTGAAGAGATGAATTAATAGCCACTGAAAATTCACTGTTTGCATATATCTGTCTAATTTTGGAGGTACCTGCTCAATATTCTAACCTTGATAGTTCTTTGTTGGTGGGACGTTATTCCACTATCTTTTTTCTTTGTCTTGTTCTTTGTTAGAACTTTCCATCAGTATAATAATACACATGAACTAATCTAGTTATGATAGAACTGGGCACCGACACTAGATTAATGTTGTGCAACATGTCAAACTGTATTTATCTATTGATATTGATCTCCTTTTTGTTCAGGAGAGGTTTTGCCAGAATGTCTTGGGACAGCTATATTGATAACCTTATTGCACAGACAAAAGATGCTAGTGGTGAGACACACTGTGATAGAGCGTGTATAATTGGTCTTGATGGAGGGGCTGCATGGACTACTGCTGGTCATGCAAATGCCTTAAAGGTAACTGCAAGTGGAAGCATTGTAATAAGTTAATATCAGTAGGGATTGGAAAAAAAACTTAAATTTCAGCTTGCCCTATGGACAAGCAACTCTCAAATTTTGCTGGCTGGCTTGGGACCTCCCTCGGCCCTCTGAGTCCTTCCATGGCAGGCAAGTGAGAGTGACAAGTTAAGTGCCCAGCAGGAGACTCTACTTGTCCTGGATGACCAGAGTACAATTTTTTCAGGACCTGATCAGGGGTATCATTATGGGCTATTGACACGAGGCAAATTGACCAGCTGTGAAAACGGGTTTGCCCAACTCATTTGACCATTTTCAAGAGATTTGTTTTCTCTTATAAAGTATGAGAATATCAGTTCTAAGAAGATTTGCCTGCCTGGGAAAACCAGTTGCCTTCCTGCTGAACACTGTTACAAAACCCTTGAGATTTTACTACTATAAATAAGGGTCAGGCTTCTGCCCACAGTATGCTCAGAACTAAGCGAACATCGCACACGCATTCTTAATGCACCCCTGCGTGTTGAAATGGCCTGCACGTTTTTGCCTATGTGTAATGGACACGGGTTTTCACCAGCGTGTCAGCCATTGTTATTCATAACCAATATTCCTTTTGTGATGCATTGCTATGGCGAACAAAGCAGGACTTCAGCTCAGACAATTGCGTGATTTATGTTTAGTAATTACACGCAAAGCCAAATTCGAATTAATTGATTAATTAGCGCAGTTGGAAAATACAGCTTTGTACCTCTTCCAGTGAAACAAGGTGCTCTGAAGTTGAAAAGATGACAGAAAAATTTGAAAACTTTCACATCAAACCATTGCCAATTCGCCTGAAATTCGAACTCATTCACCTGTATAAGCTCTGTTCTCAAACCAAGCTTGCCATTCATACTCAGAAAAAATTTCTTTGTATTGGATGGAAATAACAACATATATGTCGACAAAATAAACAACAGATGCAGTGTTTCCGCCAGAGTGCGCCATTGCAGGAATCCTGCGTTACAATCAGAGATGGCCCCCAGAAAAACAAAAAAAGGGCCAATTTGGCCCTTTCTTTTTACAAGACTGCAGGCTTAACTCAGGCATAATATTTTAAAAGCCATCCCAGGGCTCGAAATTGTGATCAATAGGGTCGCCAATGCAACAAGCATTTCATCCTTGGTGGCCAAAAATTCTGGTTTAGTCGCCATAATACGGCATAATGGGGACTACATTTCTCTCTGTTGACGATCAATAACGGTTATTTTGTCACACATTATGTCCTTCTAAAAAATCATATTGAAAGATCCGTGCTTCTAAAACATTCAACATAAGAAAAGAAGCCAATCCGTCTTTTTGCTTTGCTGTATTGATTGTCTCACATCGGAAAACTTCAAAATGGCTGACCGTGTTTGAAATCGCCCTATAATGCATTGTAAACCCTTGATCATTGACTACGTCATTTATGCATAAGGATTGTTCTCTTGTAATGCACCGATCCTTCATACTAGTTTCTGATTCGAAAGAAACTTTATTGAGTAGAAACACTTCAAAAAGCACTTACTATTAAATTTTATCATAGATCCTAATAAACGACTTTATTTGCCTTGGTACCCTGATGCATTTTTTCCTTCTGTAGCTTTCAATTTATAGGCCCCCTTCCTAAAAAATTGGCCCCTAAAAAAGATCTTCAGGGGCCACTTTGGCCCTCAAGTAAAATTTTCTGGCTGAAACACCGCAGATGGAAAGCAAGACAATTTCAGTTCATGCGGTACTCAAAAACTGGAGAAAGTTGTAAACTACACAAGGAGGAAAAGAAAGGGCTTGGGAAAAAAAAAACAAAAAAAAACAAAAACGGTCCAGTCATCAAGGACAAGTAATTATGGTAATCAAGTGTTTGGCTGAAATTGACGAATATTACAATTTTAAGCATTATTTTGTTGATTGTGTAACACATGACTCACAGTTCAGAAGTGGTTACCTAGCACATGATCAACATCTGCCCAGATCAAATTTCTTCCCAGGATTAGAAATCATCATCATCAGTCCTCATCGTGCCATTGGATGCATAAGGCCTTCACAGTCTGTCTCCAGCGCAAACGATCCTGTGCTGCCTTCCAGATTTCAACCAAGGTCAAGTGTATGGTCTCGAGTTCTTTTTCCGTTGACCTCCTCCAGGTTGTTCTAGGCCTTCCTCGTTGTCTTTTCCCTTCTGGTGTCCAGAATAGACCTTCTTTACTAATGTTGCTGGGGTCTTTCCTCAGTATGTGTCCAATCCAAGTCCATTTCCTCCATGTTAATCTCATCATGATGTCTTCTTGGATACAAATCTTGCGCACTTATGATTAAAAATAGCTGCGTTAAAATGAAAATTGTGACATCCATTGCAGTGTTTAGACACAGCATCTCTCGTAGATGTGAAGGCCGATAATTTTACAGGAGATATTTAATGCCTTTATATTTCGTTTTTTCACCGTTATTCTATAGCTCAAGGAGTCAAACAAAATACTTTTGTTCCATCGGTTGTTTTCTACAGTAGCTTATGTGGGACTTGGGGAAACGTGCACTTTGAGAAGAGAATATAGAAAACCAAGACGAGCGACCAAAGCGACAAAATAAATAAACAAGATTGGAATTAAAATATTGTTGTTGTGTTGCTTTCAATGATGCGCCAATTTTTTATTTTTTGGATTTTCATCTTGAAATAACTTGTTTAGGTGGCATTTTGCGGCCCGATTAGCTACTGTCTTCTTCAAGTATTGCAACTTGACCACTCTGCTTGATCACACTGCTTGGATACCTCAGATTTGAAGGACGTGTTTTGTTCGAAGGAAAGAAATATCTTATTAGCGATGGAATTAATGAAAACAAATTGCGTATGTAATGATTCTAGTTTGTGTGAATATCGTGGACTTTGATAACAGCTGGAATGAGAGAAGTAAACATTTGCCAGTCTCATCAATTGCCTTTTCTGGGGTGGCTAAAAAATTTAATTATCTGGTTGTCTTTATAAGCTGATTTCTCGAAATGCAAATTATTTTATTTGTGGTTGAATTAATCAAAATAAAATCGTATGTATGTAACCGCCACAATATTCAGCCGGTATGAAAGAAATAGAACTTGTCTGCTCCTTGAAAACACATGACATTCATACTGAATATTGTTTGAAGAAAAGGTTGTTCACTTCCGTTCACAAAGTAACAAAAGAAGTGAACAATAACCAGGCTCATACATACTAATGCCTTAACTTTGAAATGCTATAACGTGAAGTCAAAACGCAATCTAACAAAGCAACCCCTTCATGTTGTTAACGTGTAGTTAATGCAAATTTTGGTTTGCTTAGTTCTGAGCGGTACTGTACCTAGGGGACAATTCCAGAACTTTTGGCACCCTTGCAGTTTTGTTATTGGGTCTATGATTTTCTCTTTATATTGATTCCATCCCCTATTGATCACATATTGAATCATCCAGAGAAATTAATTGAATCTAAAGCTATCTGAAATGACCAGTTTCACAAAAAACATTCACATTTTTTGTTAGTTAAGGATCATGTCTTAAATTATTCAATGACATTTACATTGTATCTTGGCATTATCTTTAAGCATACTGTAATCATGTAGCTCTATTAAGCAGCCATTGCTACTTTGGTCATCATTGGGCAATGACAGATAAGAGTCTGAATTAGAAACTGCCAACACGTTTCTCACTGTCTTCACATGATTCCATGTTACCTTAAAGCATGTTTGCATTTGAATAAACTGACATTTCTACTAATCCTCAAGCTAATTCTTCACAAGTGCCTATTAAGTGGCCAACTCCTATTAAGTGACCACCATTGTGTGGGTGCTTAATTGGAGTTCAACTGTGGGTTTGTCCCCGCTCTGATTTAGTAGACCAAGTTGAGTACTTTTACGGTCCAAGTTCAAGCCTGGTTTTTCTGCTCCCTTGTTCAAGGGAACAGACAAACTGAGCCTTCAACCAGGTCTTGTTTGAAGAGTACAATTACGTTGTGTGAAGTGAGTTGCGGCCTTGCAGGCAAAGTGAGCTGTTGAGAAGGAGTACTTGGATGTACATGTACATGTTTTCCACTGCATGATAGACTTTAAGTAGTTCCTCTTTCGCTTAGTCTGTTGAGTGAGATTGTAAATAAACTGTGAGGAAAAAATTGCCCTGTGAAATCCTAGTGGTGAGATGCGTGCAAAACCAAAAATCACTCGACCTTTAATCGGGAGTACCTACTATCGTGTGCTTCTCGCCCCCAGAAGTTCATGCAACCATATTTTCATCTCAGTTTTCCTGTCGTGTTGTGCACAGCAGACTAAGAGACTATTTGTAGTCTAATTGGATGATAAAATAATATTTCTTAAAAATTTACACAAGATCAAGAAATCCCTTACAGAATTCAAGCTTTAAGTGGAACTATGATGTTAATCGCATCTTTTTGATCTAAGCCATTTTATAACATAGAAAAGTAGTCTGTATGAGAAGAAAAAAGCAAAATGCTGTTTGCTATTTTCAAATCTCTTTTCGCATTGAAGTCTTAAATGTGCAAATTAGCCAAGTGATGATGTCATAAACTCAACCGAATTTTGATCAAATATGATGAACAAAGGTATCTCAGCCAATTTGTATCCCTGCAGAAATGTTTGATTCTTTGTAGTAAGATTCTACTGCAGGTGCTCCACAGTATGAACTTACTGAGTAACTCCCTGCTATTAAAGGCTTTTCTGGCCACCTTTGGCGCTCCATATTGATATTTTCCAATGGTACATTATCGGCGTGATCCAGCAAGCATATAAATATGTTAGGTTGAGTTCATGGCCTTGTTTAATGTTTTTCGAGCTGAAATCAGGTCGGAGGGGAGTGGAAAAGAGTGGGTTGCCATGGGAATGGAATTTTTTTTATAGCCGTAGGCGTGTTGCATGTAGAGCTATTAGCCTGCCAAGTTTCAATGGTTTCTGCTGCAAATTGACTTAGATAGCGGTATTTATATACTTGATGTAATATTTGGTTGACTATACGACGTCATCAGTTATCTCATTTGCATATTTTACGCAGTTTTAAAACTTAAATATCTCCGAATCAATGCAGATATTTGCAAATGGTAAACGGCGTTTTTAATCTTTCATGGAATTTTATGTAATAAACCTAAAAATTCAAGGGGTAAACATTTGATCATACTACCACGTTAAACAAAATCAGCAACAGGTATTTTTGCGATTGCAATTTTCTGCTGAGCTTATCGGATGCATGCTGTTATTGTTCAGTTTTCTGTGGCCATTTCTTTCGGTAATTTCTCTGAAATTGACAGTGAAGGCCTGGGAGGAAGTCTTACAGGAAGTAGGCTACTACATGTACACGCATATGGTTAAACAAATGCACGTTCACCATGGAGGCTTGGGGTTGAGAGGCATGTGGGAGCATTTTAGGTAATTTTGCAATCTCTTGGTTTTCATGTCTCCTCTTTTCTTACCCTCAGTTACAAGATCCTGAAGGGCCTAACATTGCAAAATGTTTCAAGAGCAAGGATTTCACAGCATTCATGGCGAGTGGTGTTTTTGTGGAAGGAATAAAGTACCAGTTCCTACGAGAAGAAGACAAAAAGTTAGTTCTTGGTAAGAAGAAGGGTAATGGAGCGATCACTCTGCAATCAAGTAAAACAGCAATTGTCATAGGCCATTGCCAAGAAGGAGGTCAACAGGGGAATGCGAACAAAGGTGTAGCGGTAATTGCAGAGTATCTTGAAAGCCTTGGCATGTAATTCAAAGACTAAAATGTGTTAACTTTGTTGTAGTTTGAGGAGATACTGTATTTTGAACCTTCCAACTAATTCTCTGTAACAGCGCTGTGTTGAAGATGAGATTAGAGTTCATAAAAATGCCTGGTTATTGATAAACATTTTACTAGTTTTCTAGCTGTGATTGCAATAAAGTACATTATTTAGTGACAGTGTTAAACAGGTTATAAGTTGGCTTTCTATTGTATTGTTTTATTTGGATTAGAAAATGAGAAGTTCTTGATTTTGTATTTGATTAGAATTGAAGTCTCTCCAAGAATTGTAAAAGGCTGCACTCTTCGAGTAAGAGGAAACACCTTAATAAATATGTCAATTTCTGTGTGCTATGCTGTTTGTCAGAAAGCGATTTTTTCACAAGGCTCAACAATCATTCATTATTTAGGAAATAGAAAACATGCAGCATGTTTTAATCAAGTTTTAGTATAAACAGGTTCTATCATGAAGGCTGTTCTCTGATTGGCTGTGCTACTCACTAGCTATTCTGTGATTGATAGTGAGTAATGTAACAGAATGCCCTTTTTAACAAAATAACGTCCGCTTCTTGGCGTTTTCGAAGCGATTAGATAAAGTTTAGAATGACCAGTAGATTTATACTAAAACAATTATATTATCCGCTCTCTATTTCTATGCGTGATAGTTGACTCAGGCTGCGCCCTTGTCAGCTATCATGCAATAGAAATCTTGAGCTCATAATCTAATTGTTTAAGAGAAACAGAAGTGGAATATTGGAAGAACGAGAAAATAATTAATGCTGTGGCACAGCTTTTTCAAGTTCTCCCAAACTCTTAGTAGTGTCAACTATCATGTGATAGAAATCGAGAGCGAATAATTTAATTGTTTTAGTATAAATCTACTAGTCGTTCAAAACTTAACCTAATCGTTCTGAAAACACCAAGAGGTAGCTGTCATTTTCTTGACAAGCCCACACCGCTATGCCACTCACTATCTATCAGAATAGATAGTGAGTAGCGTAGCCAATCAGCGAACCGCATTCGTGATAGAACAATAGTAGATTTATACTAAAACTCAGTAGAAACACGGAGAGCATATTTTCTATTCTTTTAGAAAATACTGCAATGAAAAAGGTAAACAACACGTTTAATTTGATCAAAATGTAAATTCTCTTTGCTTGTGCCATCATTTCGTCAATAGCTCGTGTTCGTTCACCTTATAAGCCCACCCCCACCCCTCCCCAGACATAAGCTCCTCCGTTGAAAAGCCAAATTCCAAAACCCCTTTCGAAGTTGTATAATCCCAGTGCTTATAAGCAGCAGTTAACGGTAGCCCATTTCACGGTTAGCTTACAATGTAATTCATTATGGATGCGAGGCAATTTCGGGCTATTTTGTTTTCCGAAATAAATCTTTTCAGCCTAGGAGGGTTGTTTTCCATTACAGGTCACGTGACATTTTCTACACTACTACTTTTATCAGTCTAAAAGTTATTCACATGCACGCGACTATTTGAAAATTTGAAAGTAAGAATTCTCAAGACAGGGTTCGTACGGGTCATGAAAAACCTGGAAAGTCATGGAAGTTTTTAATTTCATTTTCCGGGCCTGGAAAGTCCTGAAATTGAAGTGGGGGTCATGGAAAGTCATGGAAAAGCAGCATACCTTCTGAGAATGAACAGGCAAAAAAATCAAGAGTTGAAAAAACAACATTAGTCAGAAAACCAGTTAATTCCAGTAAAAATAAACACCAGCACGCATTTTATGCCTCATAAGGTGGGAAGATACCTTAAAGAATAGATTGTTTTGACAATACTTGAATTTGAGAACAACTGCTTAACATAGGTCAGAGAAAACTCGGAAAGATCATGGAAACGGTCATAAAAAAGTCAGAATTTCAAACGCCCAAAAGAGTACGAACCTTGCAAGAGTGTAATCACCTGGTCTGAAATGAGGCAACAAACAACCCAAGCTAAAAAGGTCTATTGCTTAGCAACCACGTTGAACAACATTGTAATGCAAATGAGAAATACCAACTGTGAAAAGGGCTTTTGCCCGAAATTGCCTCACACTCGTGATGTACACGCTTCTCCCCAATTTTTTCGTGCGCCATTTTTCCACACACCAGGGGACCAGTCTCTGCAACTGGTGCCCTGAAGAGTTTACACGAGGGGACTGGTCGCAGGGACGAACAGTTCACAGGAAGCGTTATGAGGAACAACAATTCAAACCAGTTTGAATTCGTGAGACTAGTCGCAGGGACCAAATTTTAGTCCCTGCGACTAAATTTTGTGGTAAAAATGGCTAGTTCACACGATGGGACTTGTCCCCGCGACTTGTTGCAGAAACTAGTCCCACGAATTCAAATGAAATGGTTTGAATTTTTGGGACAAGTCCCTGCGACTTGTTCCTCAAAACGCTTCATGTGAACTGTTCGTGGGACAATTAAGTCCCTGCGACCAGTCCCTTCGTGTAAACTCTTGATGGGAGTAGTTGCAGGGGCTAGTCTCCTCGTGTGTGCTGGCCTTAATTGTGAACTGAACCGACCGGAGGGGTGAATACGCCCACTGTGGATAGGCTTTTGTACATTAAACTAGCATTTTTTTTTTTCGAGCATTCTAGTCAGGCAAAAGCATCAACCATTATTCGAGCATTTTAGTGGCATTTTCCTGGATTTTTTTCCGCGTACAGAAAATTGCAATAAAAATGCCACCCTAATACAGCCGAATGGAGACTGAGGAGAGATCAGCGGTAGTCAAATCAAATTAAAAAATAATTTAGGGAATTATCTTTTGGTGTATTTAAACTATTATATACGTTGAGTTATAGTACTTATACGTTTTTTTTTAAGCATCCTGAGCTGTTAAAATTAAAAAAACCGTATGTATGAGGAGGGGGTGAATAGGGGTATGCAAATCCGCCGATCCATGCCTTTTTTTCGCCAAATCCGTCGATCCGCCAATCTTTTTGTTCAAATCCGAAACCACAATTACACCCGGAAAGGTAAATGTGAATGCCATTGTTACTACTAATTTCGCACAAATAGTAAAGAAGGCAACATGCTCGATGACTATAACACAGTACAATTCCAATAGCAGTCTCACACCTGAGTTTAAATGAGCTTTGTTCGAAAAAAGAAACAATTTGGATGAACTCATTAACATACCGACCAAGGCTGAAGAAAGATCTAAAGAGAGGAGTTCTCTCTTTATGAAGGGAAAACCGGAATTCAAAAAAGTCGCTTAAATCAAGTTCAATCGGCAAAATAACCACACCAGGAGCAAACAACACACGTATGAAATAAGGTAAGCCATTTTTATTGAGAATTTTCACTTTTAACTACCTCCATGGGTATCTTGTAGAAACTCCCATATAAACCCTTATAATTCGATGCCATATCGTGTTGCTTGTGTGGTTCATAGAGAGAACTTGGGCTGCCTGTGGTTTCTGCCGGGAAGATTCACAATGAAAATTGCGATAAGCAACTCTTTGTTGTTGAAACCTGCGTGGCAATTTCTATACAATTATCAAGTTGCTTCGGTGAGATGAGCTTATTTTCAACAGGGAGTTGTAAAGTCTTCCTGATTTGAAACCATGCTGTGAGACCACCTCAAGAATTTAAGGTGGCTCTGAACCCTATGTTCAGAATATTTTAAACTTTACCAAAAGTTGCGTCTTTCATGCTTATCAAAATTTGATAATATAAGAAAAAAGTTCATAGCCGTTATCGAATTATAGGCCCATAAAGCTGTAATTAAAGCTGTTTTTAGCAGATCATACTGTTGCTTTCGTAACCTATCGTGTCACGAAACTGAAAGCAACGTGTTCACCAATGATTGGGAATTTTTTTTAATACCATGATTGTAGCATCAAGTGATAAAGAGTGGTGATAACGACCCTTCAAAATCTTAGAGCTGGAAACTGTTTTAAGCCACCTTAAATAACTCTCCCTTGTTCCAAACGTGCATTTGTGTACTCAAAATAAGACTGAGCCTGAGTAACTTGAACTTTCAAGATTGTTGTTTAACTGGATTTATGTTTAAGAGTCAAGAGAGAATGAAGGCCAAGGAAGTAAAGCCCCCACATAGGCCTTATTATCAAGGTAATCCCACTCAAGTCAATTTTAGATCACTATTTTGCTCACGTGGACAGCCCAAGCGGTCAACACACGCACTCCACAAAAGCATTCATGCAACGCACGTGATAACATTATCCGAGGAAGAACTGGGTACCATGTCTAAAAATAAGTGTACATCACGCTGAATTAACGATTGTAAAGAGCCATCTGCAATAGCCATTTGATACAAAGAGTATAGAAATTAGAAAAAATTATAATTGATAATGTCATAACGTCTACAGATTAAATTCTGATCAACGCGATTCTTTCCAAAACACACCAGCCGGTGACAAAGAATAGCGCTTTTCTGGACACCTAATTCATCCTTAACCATGCTAAAAGTTCGAATCGGAATGATGTCCATACAGCGTTTCTGAGCCTATAGTTGCAATCTAAAAGGCCCTGAGTGTAGCCCTGGCTGGGCCGTTGTGTTATGCACTTAGGGGAGAATAATAAGCGATCAACTCTCACAATACCTCTCTCTACCTACGACAATTAAATCGACATACTGGAAAATATTTCAGTCAACTGTGACAGAAATGCCGGCTATAGTTAAAAGAAAAGTTAAGTGTTGAATGTTTGTAGTGGTCGATGCACTTAGCTACAACTAGCTAATTTTTAGGCATGCCACTTAAACTGAATGAAAGAAATATTGCAAATAAACATAATAGAATCCCAATTGGTGGGAGGCAGACCAGTCGGCTATTTACAAGCATGGCCGAGAAGTTGAACTAGGGTCTATCGGACAAGAAACAACTCCAGCTAAGTGGTCAGAGCGGGACTTGATCTCGCGACCTCCGGATTTCAAGGCCGGAGCCCTAACCACTCGGCCCCGCTGCCTCCTATAAAATACTGTTAACTATATATAGTTAACAAATAGGTTCCATGTTGCTGCGCGTCTTTAAGAAGTAGGTCACAGATGACATCAAAACGTGGTAAGAACAACAAAAAAAGTGGCACACGCGCGGATAGCCGAGATTGCCACTGATGTTCTTACAACATTTTAACGTCTTCTGTAGTCCTTTGCTGAACAGACGCACGGCAATATGAGATGTATTTGTTCTATATGTTATAGAAACAACAAAGATTTTAAATGACGTCATCTATGGGTCTGTCCTCCAATAGATCATCAGTAAGAACTAATCAAAACGCGAGAATAATTTGGCTTATTATATAACTTAATTGCTATGGCCTAGCCTCTTCTCTAACGCTAGTAGCAATAATACTTAGGTTCCTACTCAAAAATAAAAGAATAAAAAACTGTTGAGCAGAGACCAAGCAACTACCAGAAAAACCAAGATATTCCCCTTTAACCCTGTACCACATTAACATGAAAGTTCTCTTCGCAAAGTCAAAAATATTATCGCCAAAGACACCACTTGGTGTAAAACCTTTTCAACTGCTGCGTTCTGCATTGATGTCCCTATCGAATGCTAACATCTCCAAGAATCGTTTCCAGGTCCTTTACGACACTGTCAAAAGACGGCCTTGCTTCGGGAACTAGATTCCAGCACTTTTCCATAAGTTCCCAGCAGCTTTGTGGAAACACGTCCAGTCGCTCAGGCGTCTTGTTATCGAGCGCGTTCAACATGAGCATGACCAGAGGAAGGAAATGGCGGTTTATGTTCTGAGGTTGGTTGCCCTTACCTTCACACACCCTCCAAAGGAGCATGCCAAACGCGTACACGTCAATGGTTTTGTCATACTGTTGTTTGATCATTTCAGGTGCCATGTTGATGGGCGTTCCCACCAGCGAGTTGCTGGCAAGGCCTTCGGGTTTGCAGAGACCCAGGTCAGTCAGCTTAGCCCTGTTGTTCTCGTCCAACTAAGGGAACAAAATAATGTATTTTATTATTTAGTCATCGCTAGGTTGTGTCTCAGTATCTAAGCCCAAATCTTCGTGATCAGTGTTAAGTGCAGAAGGAAAAGGGAGGTCTCAGGGAACATATCAGAAGTAAACAGCACACCATGAGAAAGTTGTCACTTTTTTGAAGATGAAACCACTCTTAAGTTCTATAGAGGAAACCTATTGGAGTGGAGCACTAAAGGAGGAAGTGGACGGCTCTTGAGAAACGGGAGAAGGGAACGGGTATGACCATTCCCGCCTGATCCTGAGGATGTTTTCACGTTTCAGATGTCGAAACGCAAGGCTATCTCCATGGAGGTGCTTTAAGATAAAGCAATTTGTCCATTCTTAAAGAGTACCTCTCCCATAAAAAAGGACCCTGAAGACATCAACTCACTCACCAAAACATTCTGCACTTTAACATCTCGATGAATCAAGTCTTCCGCGTGCAGATACTGCAAGGCTCTGGCCACGTCAAGCGCTATCTCTAGCCTCTTCCTCATAGACGAAATGGCTGGGAGACCTTCTTGAAGATCGCACCTCATTCGCTCCGAGACAAGTGCCACAGAAAGGCCACGTTCTCGGTTTGTCTCCACTATGGTGCACAGTACGGGTAAAATGTTGTCATGTTGAAGAGACCTTCAAATAAAGTTTTATATTATTGTTATATTACAATTGCAAAAAAAATCGCCCATAGGAAAAAAGGTGGCGACTGGTACATTTACCCATAACTCTTGGCGGGCGAAGACTTTTAAAGCAACGCTCATACAAACCTACAGAAAATTTCTGAAACCTTCAAATCTAGCACACAGAACGTCTCAATACAAGGATAAATAGTTCAAAAATAGGGATTTCCTTGTACTTTATTGGCTGTGTAAAGTTCTTATGCATGGTATTGTGGTAAAATTTACAGCCATCATCTTTTTTCTCCAGGAAGGAATAATATCTCATTTTGGAAATAAGATTACGTTAACGGCTCTTGATTGTGACGTATATATTTTTACCATTATCAACTCGCAACACTCATTCGCATGTATTTTAGTCAATTTACTTGCTAGCCAGTTGACGGTTTTTGCATCGAGGTTTCTTCTAATGTTTGTATACAAATAGGTTCAGTGTTGCCGTGCGTGTGTTCAGTGATAGATCACAGAAGACGTCAAAATCTATCTGTTTTATATAAAACAAGACACAAAAGAATATGTTAATGACGTCATCTATGCGTCTGTCCTCCAGTAGATCATAAGTAAGAAGTAATCAAAATGTGAGAATATTTTGACTTACTATATAAAGTTTCTTATACACCAAAGGAAAGGGAAGGGTGCTGGTGGACTCCGAATCGAGCGATTAGAGCTCGAGACCTTACATGTCATATTACAATCGTTGATTTGCTTATATTCATACCTGGTATTGTGCAATTCCAGGGTAAGATCTTTCAGCACTTCCTCTGAAGCAACTTTGACTACTTTCACTACGCAGGGCTTGCCCCTGGGAGTCGTAATGTTGTCACAAGCAAAGACACTGCCCTGTGCTCCAGTACCAATAAGTTCTCCTTGACGTGGCAGGCCAAATCTGAATCTGTCCATGACACCGTATGCCAGCATTTCTAGGAGGGCAAGATTGGGAGCGAACTCAAGAATCTTTTCCCTTTGTTCGTCTTTGATGGTCTCTCCGCGGTCGAACAGGCCCTGGACTTTCTTGATTTCTCCAATGAATTCTTCATGGCAGGCAGAAAAATGTGTCTTTAGATTGCTCGCGATTTCCTCGGCCATCTTAGACGGATCTACTCTCGCTAGAGCTTTTGAGGCAACCTTCCTCTTCCATTCTTTTGAACCGACCTCGACTTTCCCTGTGACGGTCTTGATGATAACATCGACTGGGTCAGAAATCATTTCGAAAACCCGGATGGCCACTTTTTTGATGAAGCTTTGAATTCCATCGTGTTTGCTTAAAGTGATCTGGGCTTCGTAAGATGAAAGAAGGCTTCTTCCGAGGGAAAGAGCCGCTGAAGGAAATTCCCCATCGGCCGCGATCTCCTCTTCAATTCGCTCGATGCGATCTTTCAGTTGAGTAAAAAACAGCTCCCTTGATCGAAACATCATGCTTAGAGTTACCTTGATTTCTCCTTGGAGTTTATTGATCACCATTCGCTGCAGCTGGTCTTGGCAGTGGGCCACGGCCGCTTTCTCCTTGACAAAGCCATCTTGGGGAATGTTAAATTCTGTCAGAACGTACTCAAAGTTTTCGGCTTCCTTGAGGATACCACTCTGACTTTGAGCATTATTTAACGCATCACTCAGTATCTCCTGAACGTCTTTGGATTTGGCGTCCAGATTGCGACTGATGTTATCGTGAACCTCCCGTTCCTCTTGTAGCAGAGTCTGAAGCGTTTTCATCGTCAGCTTCTTGCCCTTCTTCAAGACATTGGCTTTCTGAATGAAGAAATCTAAGCATCTGGACAAGACTCGGATGAGAATTTGGCAAACACGCTCAACCCTGGCGCGTAAAGATTCCTCAGCGAACTTTTTCAGGCTGTCCTGAAATCTGTTAAAGGATTCAATGTACTCGGTAAATTCATCACTGGAGGCCTCAGGGTTCCTCTCCTTCATCGCATTGTACCTCTGGATGCGCCAAGCGGAGAGACCGTGGAATCGTTCGTTTTCATCCATGGTCACGCCAGGTTCTGCGGAGAGATATCCGTGCTTGACAAGTCTTTCGTAGACTCGCTGTTTCTTTCTTGACTGTACTTCCAACTCTTGGATTTTCTTCCTTGCAGAGGCGCTTGCTTCTTCGTCTTCGTCTGAGGATTCTGCCCGATCTTCAGGTTCGAGTTTACTTACCACGAAAAATATTGGCAAGTCAGATCGTCGGGAAGTCATTTCGCTGAGAACTTCTCTGTCCTGACAACGAAAACAAAATACTTAAAAAAAGAAACACTGCCATAAGAAACCTACGGTATACGGATCGTTGAACATTTTTTATAAAAAAAATTAAAATGAGACGGGTGGAAGGGGGAAGGGGGGAATGGGGGCTACGACATACCTATAACTACCTATCTGGACAATTTTTAGTGTCTTATGATAACCAAAACCTAGGGAGGGGGCCATCAAGAAAGCCCCACACCTTCCTTCTTTGCATGGTCGCGTGAAAGTCCTTTTCAAGGCTAACATTTCTCATTTTTTATCACAATATACTCTACCATGTAGGTGACGGAATTTCGGTCTATTTTGTAGTTTTAGTACGAAATTGCCTCCCATCCACGTTGGATCACATAGCAATGCAAATGAGAAAAACTAACTTCAACAACATGTCACTCGACTTTCAGCCAAGAATGCAAAGGGGATATGTTCCTTGTTGTCTCGCTTTTAAAATAAAATCACCCAGAGATGCGTAGAATCGATATCAAAACACACTGCTACAGTCATTGAAAAGTTTATGTCGCGTGTATCTTTTACGTCCTGTTCATCATTCGAGTCGTCAGCGATCGCAGAACCGTAAAAATTTACACCGTCCTCGAGAAACTCGTATTCTGAATTTATCCATGATAATAAACCTCCTAAAACCAAAAGAACGTGGGAACTCTATAATGTTTTAACTGCCGTGTAGATGCGAATTCTAGCGCATCGAAGCTCACCACGCGTAATGCAGAGGAAATCCGCACGGAGAATCAGCCAATGAGATTTCAACATTGAACAATGAAAGCTTTTCAGAATAAAAACAAACGGTCGTAAAGCATACCGGTTGAAGGTGGGCTTTTAAATTTAAATAAATCAACCCAATAAAACTGCAAATTTTCTAGCTAAATTATTCAGTGCATCGTTTTCCGATTTCCGGATAAGGCGGTTTTCATTTTTTCATTTTTTTCATTTTTTTTTTTNGTTGGGGTGGGGTAAAATGCTTTTACATTTATCCGTGGTAGTAACATGGCCAAGCTGTGGGCCGCCATCTCGGAGCAGAGTTCGTAGGGAGTCATGGGAGTCTATGATCCGGATCTGTGATTTGTTTACTCTAATTTAGTCGAAGGCACTTGCTCCACAACAGTTCACACGACGGGTTTTGAACCACGAACAGTGTTCATATGACGGAGACGCCTATAACGGGTTTTGAGGGACAAGTCAGTGACAGGGAATTGTCCCTTCAGTTCAAACTAGTTTGAATATTCAGTCTCCACGTACCATTATTTTTAGACATAAATATTAAACTAGTTCACACGAATGGACTTGTCCCTGCGACTTGTTGCACAGACTAGTCGAAGGGTCTTTTACCCTCCGGTGTGTACCTGCCTTTAGGACTTCTGCGTAGCGGGCTACTATACGTGTATACTGATTCATGCCGATCATGGGGAAAATAAAGCGAATAACGAAGCAGATGCGTTTCGCATCACGGAAGTAAATCGAGTGAAGAAACTGGTATCATTTAACTTATTTCAGAGACATTCTTACCTGCTTTGTAAATAGGTTATGTCCGTCGACCACGTAGATCACAAATGCCAGTGGATTTTCCAGCTTCTCCTTCACCAGGTTGTCCAGTGCCTCATTCTCGTTCCTTCCGGGCGAGTCTATGATAGTTACACCAGACTTCAAGAAATCGATATTCAGCCCGGTCTCCACGGTCGCTTCCACCTTGCTAGCATCCCCGCGGTCCTTCTGGTTGAGCTCGATTTTCCTTCGAGGGATTTTGTTCTTTCCCTTTAAGGCTATTTCCTGCAGGGTTCTACCGTTTTTGTTGACCAGGCGACAGAACGGTTCCTCGGCGTAGGAGACGCGAACAATCCTCGCGGTGCTGGGCTGATCAGAAGTCGGAAGTGCCTTGCAGCCTAAAAGTTCGTTTATGATGGAGCTTTTGCCGCAGTTCGTCTGCCCAACAAAAATCAGCGCTGGTTCCTGTGAGAACAGGGAGGTGACTTCCTTCTTCTCCTGTGAGGTGTAAAGTAATTCGCCTAGATTCGTGTCAAACTCCAGGTGAATGTCAGCCATCGCGGCTGTTTGTGCCATGACTTTCACTTCATCAGGCGATGTCGGCGGCGAACCCACGTAGCTAAGCTCCGCAGCAATGGCTGCATCCTTCGGATTGGAAAGCTTTTGCGCGATTTCAGTGAAGTATTGAACTGTGTCGCTGTGAATTTTCTCTAGCGTAGCCTTGCTTTTTCGAAAATCGTCGAATACATCTTTTAGAGGCATGGCGACGATCAGATCAGAAAGCAATGAAGCGAATTATTGGAGTGACTAATGTTTCTTGATTTCTCGGAAAACAGGAAACGAATGTCGTCTGTAAATGAAAGTATAGAACATGGCCCGGACTGAAGAAAAGAGAGGCGGAGCGCACAATTGAATTATTTGACGCTTTATATTCTATGGCTTCCCTTGAGATTTAGTAGCGACCTCTAATAACATACCTTCGTGTAAGAGACATGTGTTTATGTTGAAGCTCAAGCAAGTAGAGATGCCTTC